AAGTTTTTTAACTCTTAATCAATTATCTTTTTTAGTTTTATAATGTATAATATATAAAAAAACCTTTCATATTCATTTTGGAAAAACTTATTTACATAGGTTTAAATATTAAAATTAAATGATAAAATGGTATAATTAATTTTAAAAATTAAATAATAAAATGGGGTGGATGATGATGTGGCTTAAGGAGAAGAGAGAAAAAGTTAACTTTATATATATAGATATAGATACATGATCCATTGATTTGGAGATCCACACATATAGACGAGAACTGAGAGTAGTTCAATAAGGCAAAAAAATACTCATAAATCCAAGTAATATTGCTAGGGTTTCTACGTTTCTTGTATGACAAGTAAACTGTTAAAACCCTAATATCTTGAAAGAGAGACGAATTCGAGAAAGAAATTTTGGTGGTAGTGCTAAAATAGCCTTGAATCGTTTTGCTGCAGAATACAGTATTTGAAATCTTATCATACACATCAATTAAATTCGTAATTAGTAATTTATAGATTCTGATAACGTGTTTTTTTTTTTTTGTGGATAGAAAATAAGAGTGGATTCTTGGTAAATGCCACCAATGTTTTCAGTTGTGTGTTTGACAAGGCACTATGCATAAAAATTGTTTTCAAATATTTTGATTTGATGGATACTATTTTGTCTAATCTGTATTTTGGTCTTCTTGGCCATTATATGTGTGTTAAGAGCTACGACAGGTCATAGAGTAAAAGGTTACAATCTGTCTGACATTCTTATTTTAGGTTTTAGAGAATATATAGATGTTTGTTTGAGGAAGAAGAAACCTCAATAAAGCCTTTTTGACCTATTTTGGGATTTAGGAATTTGCCTGATTCCTTTTTGTTGCTGCCTTTCTAATTCCTTCATGTTTTTCTTCTCAATCTAGACATTTTTTTTGTGTGTCTCTCTCTCCCTCTCAAGGGGGTTTCAATTGTTGTTGCATTTTCCGGTTGGGATGTATTGAAGGAAGAGAGGGTTAGAAAATGGCGAGTGGCGGAAAGGGGGAGAAGATATTGGTTTCGGTAAGGGTAAGGCCGCAGAACGAAAAGGAGAAGGCGAGGAATGATATATGCGATTGGGAATGTGTCAATAACACAACAATAATATGTAACAGTAATTTGCCTGAGAGATCTCTCTTCCCTTCAACTTATACATTTGGTAAGATGTTCATAAATGTTCAAAGCTAAATTGAGTATTGTAGACTTAATGTAATGATGCTAAGGAAACAAGTTTTGAGTATTTACAGATAAAGTGTTTGGATTCAATTCCGCCACGAAACAAGTCTATGAAGATGGAGCTAAGGAGGTTGCTCTTTGCGTTCTCGATGGAATCAATTGTAACGACAAACAACCTTAAATATTGCGATCGATTTTGTCTTTGTAACTATGAATTAGGTTTGACACATTTGGTTTTTGCAGCGAGCATTTTCGCATATGGTCAGACGAGTAGTGGGAAGACATATACAATGAGTGGTATCACTGAATTTGCAATGGATGACATTTTTTGTTACATTGAAAAGGTCTGAACAAAACCGCAGCGGCATTGACATCTCTGTCTCTTAATTTCTTCTTTCATACGTACGACCAAATAACCACTCTTCTTTTTCATTTTCTTCAGCATACAGAACGTGAATACACTCTGAAATTCTCTGCAATTGAGATCTACAATGAAGCTGTGAGGGATCTCCTAAGTGGGGATAATAATCAACTAAGGCTTCTCGATGATCCAGAGGTAAACATCACTTGTTTCTTGATATTATGCTATACGCTCTTATTATATATCTTTAGACTCACTCAATTCTATCCGTTTGCTTCATCAGAGAGGAACCGTCGTTGAGAAACTTATTGAGGAGACCATACAAGACAGAACACATCTAGAAGAACTTCTTACAGTCTGTGAGAGTAAGTAACACGCCGAGCTTACAAATAATTTAGTTAAGTTGGAAGTTTAACTAATGTACCAGTGTTATTGCAGCTCAGAGGAAGATTGGAGAGACCTCCCTGAATGAAACTAGTTCCAGATCACATCAAATACTCCGGCTGGTACTCTTCGTTCCTCCAGCGTCTTTTTTTGTCTTCGATTGTAGTTTTTCTTTCTCGCTACTCTAAAGAATGCATTTCCTTGCAGACAATTGAAAGCACTGGTCGAGAATATTCTCCTGAAAACTCCAGCACTCTTGCGGCGTCCGTGGTATTGTACAATTATAATGAGTACTGTCAATGATTGATTGAGCTTTTGACCTTTTTCTTTCTCTGATGACAATTGTTTTTGATTCTTTGCGCCTCTCCAGTGCTTTGTTGATCTAGCTGGAAGTGAACGTGCTTCTCAGACTTTATCTGCTGGTACAAGATTGAAAGAAGGTTGTCATATAAACAGGAGTTTACTTACTCTTGGAACAGTCATCCGCAAACTAAGGTTTGATTATATGTCATAGTAAAATCTTCTTCTGTAAACGAGTGGTATTTTAACAGACAGTGAAATTGTTGGAAGTGCAGTAAAGGTAAAAACGGGCATGTACCGTATCGAGACTCAAAGCTTACTCGAATCCTTCAAAACTCGTTGGGAGGAAATGCGAGAACAGCTATCATATGCACAATGAGCCCTGCACGTAGTCATGTCGAACAGTCGAGAAACACCCTTCTCTTTGCAATCTGCGCTAAAGAGGTGACGACAAATGCTCAGGTCAATCTTGTTGTGTCTGAAAAGGCTTTGGTGAGGCAATTGCAAAAGGAACTGGCTCGAATGGAGAACGAGTTGAAGAATCTAGGATCTGCTTCTGGAGACTCTGACTTCTATTCTTTGCTGAAACAGAAAGAGGAAGTGATTGCAAAAGTGATTCCACTCTCTTGAATACTTCTTTATTACATTGCTCTCGTTTTCTCACTAAGAAATCTATTTAATTCTTGAAACTTCTGACCACAAACTGCAGATGGAGGAACAAATGAAAGAATTGAAATGGCAACGTGATGTAGCTCAATCCCAAGTGGAGAATTTACTTAAATCATCAGCTGAAGAGCGGTCTTCTAGGATGGACGAACAATCCATGTTTAGTTCCATGGATTTTGATGCTGATCTCCGAAGAAGAAGCTATGATTTAACAGATCTTGGAGAACCTAGTATCATCAATAAGTTAACCGAGAGGAATTTCGACTTTTTGGAAAATTCTGAAGAAGATGATTTCTTGCTTGATGATAATACCCCTCAATTTTCGAAGCATACCCTATACGATGGCTGGGAGGAGATGGTCGAAATAACTGATGAAAACATGGACGATGTGTGCAAAGAAGTTCGATGCATTGAACCTGAAGCTGAACATGGACAACAAGCAGTAGTCAAAAGCCATGACTCATTAGACGACATAGTTGATAAGAAAGCTATCTCTGAGGTTCTCTCACCTAGGAAGGAAGAAATTTTACCAGCTATGGAATACAAACAAAGCTATGAGTCTTCTATGGGTAATGAGAAAGCCGAGAATGAAGACGTGGAGATTAGCACATCTGCAGGAAAGGAAGAAAATTTATCAGGGTTGGAATACGAACAAAGAGATAACTCTTTTACGGGTAATGAGAAAGCAGAGAATGAAGAAACTGAGATTGGAACACCTGCAGAAAAGGAAAACGTTGACTTATCCTTAAAAACTGTAGATGTTGAGTTGTCTCTAAACGCTAAGCCTGAGACATATGAGCTAACTTTTAAAAAATCAGATTTGGAGATGGAATCATCAGTTGAAGCTCAAGAATCACAGGAATTTGTGAAAGAAGACGAACAAAGGAAGAAAGAAGAAAGGAAAATGAGTCCTTCCACAACGCAAGCTGAGCAATGCTCAAATAAAGATGAAAATACTCAGTCACAACGTCAATCAAAGGAAGACTGTGAATTGAATTCACTCCCTATGACGAAGCAATCAGAAGAGACAGTCGAAGTGGAGTTAGCACCCAATGATGCTAAGTCAAATGAGGATGCGACATTTGGAGATAAGTGGGAGAGAAAACTGCATCAAGACACCGATAGAGATTACAACAAATCATCAGTCAGCAAAAATATTGGGATAGATGATATTGACAACAACATTTCTTATATGGCTTTGAAAGAAAAAGTTAAGGAGATGCAGAAGAAGATTGAATACCTTATGAGCATTCACACAGCAGAACAACAACATTCACCTTCCTTCAGAAGAGAACATAATAGTCCAGAATGTTTTACTACCAAAAGAAGCCGAAGTTGCAGAGAGAATCTCTTGAGTGTTAGATCTCCTCAATGGTTTGAGAATTTGGAAGTGAACAATAATACATCACCTGCCTGGGGGATTATGGGGTTAAAAGCGTCTCCTGGTATACCAATAAGCAAGACTTCCAACACTTCGAGCATTTCCTTTGACTCAGGGAGTTCAACCTCCATTGATGCGCGTAGCCTGAAAGACTATGATCCTGAGACAGGAAATAGCTTCCATGAATTTGTAGCAGGGCTTGAAAAAATGGCACAGCAGCACCACTCAATCGACTCGACACCAGAGCTAGATTATGGGATTTCATATGCCCTTACAAGAACCAAAAGAATTGAGATCAGACAGGAAAGCCCTGCAAAAAATATTAGAGGAAACGAGAATGCATTACCAAATCCTCAGGATATAAATGAAGAAACCAGAGATGCCACCAATAATCAATCAGAGAGCGAGAAGGCTGATGTTTCGGTAAGCCAACAAGTTTCTTTTCTTGGGGAGACAAAAACTTTTGCCGTTTCTCAACAGTTTGGACGATCTAAAATTGCAGGTTGAAGATGCAAAACCTAAGGAAACAGATTCCATAGAGTCTTCCCTAGAGAAACTACAGGCAGCATCTATTGGACAACATTCAACCAATTCTTCAGACTTTGAGAGACAGCAAAGGCAAATAATTGAGCTTTGGGCGATTTGCAATGTACCACTGGTACATAGAACCTACTTCTTCTTGCTCTTCAAAGGTGATCCTTCCGATTATGTTTATATGGAAGTCGAACTTAGAAGGTTATCTTTTCTGAAGCAGACGATATCTAATGACATGGACGCATCAAGGTTTGTCCTGGAAAAGTTTTGCAACAACTCTCAGCAATATCAATCATATACCTATATGTACTAAGCTAACCAGTTCCTTTGGTTTCAAATCAGGATACAAACAATGAAGGCACTCACACGTGAGAAGGAATGGCTTTGCAAACAAATACCAAAGAAGTTTCCATTGAGCCAAAGAATAGAACTTTACCAAAAATGGGGTGTGGAGGTGAATTCAAAGCAGAGAAGCATGCAGGTAGCGCAAAAACTGTGGACCAACACCCAAGACATGGAACAGATAAAAGAAAGTGCTTCTCTTGTGGCTAAGCTGCTTGGATTTGTTGAGCCAAGTCGAATGCCAAAGGAAATGTTTGGCCTAAGCTTGTTACCTAGAACCGAAAACGTAAAATCATCTGGCTGGAGGTTTACCAAATCCTTTTCTGGCCTACGCTTGACCTGATGATAACCAGAGCACATTTATTATACATATAAACCAGTCAGAAGTCTTCAAACTAATCCTTATATTGTGAAAGGCTTGCATGTAAAACATGTCAAGTTCCGGACATAATTTGTACCTGATTGAGAAAGAATCCCAAATTGTATCACTCATGTTATAGTATAGATCAAGGAAAAGGATGTGCCAACAACGTTAATTTTTTTGTGTTCATTTATAAACACTCTAACTTAGAGAGAAAATTTACAAAACAAAGAGAATATTGAAAGCTCAGGTGTACTACATATGAGCATATTATGATGCAAGAACAGAGCCCTCGGTGATTTTCCACCCTGACTTGGACCAGAAGACTTCATATCTTGTTGTGTAGGTTCTGACATCTGTAGCATTGTTTTCTGGATGAACCAAATCAGATAGACAAGCAGACTCCTCCAGAGTTGCTTCAACCAGAGCACGGGTTCCATCTGCTGAAATGGTCACACTGTCAACAGACAGTTTCAACAGTGTATAATCATAGACCAACCCAAGCTGTGCAGTTTCAGCTGCTCTATCAGTCCATATCTTCAGCATTCGCCCATCCAAAACCTATAAATAACCAGAATCATAAAAGGCACCAGGCAACATTCCCATAGCTACAACCAGGTAAACAGCTTCCGCATAATCGATTGAATTGTTGATCTATTCCCTTACCTCTGGCAACAGTTCTATGCGGTGATCATGCCCAAATGCCTGAGACTTGATCTTCTGCCACTTGGAGACTATACTCTCTGCAGTCCTAGCATCCATTCTGGGAAGTGCTTCTGAATCCTCAGTTCTCGCTGACCCTAAATTAGACAAAATTGTACAAAGCCACAGTAAGATAATATCTGATCCTACGTTATCTTAATCAGATATGTTGATAGTGAAATATACATTTGTGTCTACAGTTTGATAACAAAAACTAACGCAGCGGATAAAAATGTTCGGAGTGAAATTTACATAGTAACTTGTTAATCTCGATAATACTTTTAGGACGTGTATTAAAAAGTAAATGAACTACTTTCTTTCTTGTCAAGATATTGGAATAGTTTTGAACAACCCCAGCGGAAATAGTAATCATACCAGTAGTAGCCATGTCAGATTCCATAGTAGAAGCCATATCCTTGCGTTGAAAAGATGAGCTGCTTTTTGGAGGCAAATACCTCTGGGTGAATAGTGCAATCACTCCAATAGCCACACCAGCAGCCAGGATCTTCACAATTGCCTCTTTTACCATATCGGCAATAGACTTATCAACAGTAACTGTTTCAATGGTATTCTTTAAGATCCCACCTCGAACTGCATAATCGTTTGCATCAAAGTTCTCAGAGGGTCTTTCAGTTTCAGTAATAAAGACAGCAGGCTCACCATCATGGTCTATATTGTTACCAACAGGATTTACACTAAACACTGTCTCTTGCGCATCCTTGGGTTCATCTGAGGTTCTATCTGCAAAGCGAGAAGGGAAAACTTTTTGCAATGCTTGCATAGCACTAGCCTTCACATGCTCGGCTCCCATCCTTGCCATTGCTGCAGCAGCAGCTAAAGGCGAACCCTGAACTACCTCCACTCTTTCCAAGTAACTCAAAACCATGGGATCATCATAATAGTCCCCAAGTTTAAAATTGTTATCTTTGGTGTCTCTGAACCTAGGAAAGACAACCCCTGCCAACCAGGTTTCCAACAATTTGCAGAGTCCAGGGAGATCATCATTGTCATCACTATTTGAATTTTCCAATACAAACTCCACAATAGCTGGATTCCTATATTGTGAATCTTCACTATCTAAGCCCAACCACATACGGCATTCATCAACTTTTCCTATAAGCAGAGCACAGAGTCCCCTTTCCAGACCAAAGTCTATCTCCCAGTTATTTCTTGTATCATACAACATCGCAGGAATCTCCATAGCCATTACTTTAGCCTGCTGAAGTTGCTGGAATTGCTTATCAGCGTCCTGTAAAAGGTGTGGCTTCTTACCTATAAAAGCCTGAGCCACAAGCGCAAGTGCAACTTCGTAAACTTCAAATGACTCTGCTGGAATATTGCTTGGAGTAGCTACAAAAAGATCAACCTACAACCCAAGGTTATATTAGAATGAGGAACTAAATAGAGTTAGATAAAGAAAGAAGAAAAGTATCTAAATTGTACACCTGCTCAGCAGCTGTCATTCTAAGAAAAGCCTCATTCATAAACTTTTCACGGGTTAAACCCCCAACAAGAGCTGATGCTCCACCTCCTCCAACAGACCACAATATATTGCGTACACCTCTCAAACCGTTTAGTCTTTTCGCAGCGTAATTATCATCAAGCGGTAAGCCAAGAAGCTCCAAAACATAACGTGGAGTGATCTCTTCCAAAGTCTCATCAATCTGTGCACGTAAATCTGGCGCAAGGCTACTTGCTCCTTCCTCCTACAAAAAAACTCAAGAACTAAGTATAAATCCAAACAAGTTCTTATAACTCCCCCATAACAAACGCATCCAAAATTCATCAAACTATCCCCAAAACAAGTCAAACTACCTGCAAAAGCTTCAGAGCTTCCTCAACGAACTCATAACCAGTAATAAAATCAGGTGGTTCCAATGCCATGGCATCCCTAGAGATATCTAGAAACGCAAGCGCCATAACTAAAACCACATCTTGCTTAAACGACTTAGGCAACCTCTCTTTAAGCAGAGCTTCTCCTACCCGAAGAACAATCTCAGTCTCACCAGCTTCTTGCAATACACAGAGAGCACCAGGAACCTTCAGTAGATATCCAAAGAGAACATGATAAAGTTCTTTAAGAATCAAAACGAAGAAAGACTATTCCGAATTGAATAGAAATTACCTTTTCCCAAGGAACCTCAGTGATAACTGTAGCTTCCTCATCATCAACAAGACCTTCATTGTACTCTCTTCTAGACCGAGGATTCGAAAGAGTTTCACAAGCAGCTTGAAGAATCTGTCTCCGGCTGATCAAAACGTCGTCACTGAACCCGAATTGAGGCGGTTTCGAAACCCTAGCTTCGAATGCTCGTCTGATTCCATCAGTTAAGAAATGCGTTTGAGCTCCCAATACCTGGTAGAAATCGATGGGAATAGGAATGTGGCGTTCGGGACGATCAATAGATGGTGGCGGAGAGACGAGAGTGGCGGTGGCGGTGGCGGTGGTGAGGGAGGAGGAGGTGGAATCGGAGGTGAAATTGAAGTCGGAGAGAAGACGGTCAGCCCATTTGCTGGCGGAACAAGTTGTTGTAGTGGAGGTGTTGTGGTGGCTGCTACGCCGGAGTTTCGTCGTCGACGGTGGTAGTCGGCATAATTGGAATGGGAAGAGGCCAATGCCGACGTGACTCAGAGCTTCCATGGGAGAATCTTTTTGAGTCCTTTAATTACAAAATTTTCATTTTTCTTTTGTTTGTTTTCATATACTGAAGAAAAGAGGTGTTGGTCGTTTAGGGTTTATGGTACTTTGATTTTGATTATTTAGAAAATATCTTTAAAAAGAAATGGTGAAATATAATATTTGAAATTAAAATGAGTATCGTTTTATTGTTGAAAAATGGTAAACATAAAAACATATTCAATTTGAACTTCTTTAATATTAAGATTTTGAATTTTGATTTATGAATAATAATTTGTAAAGTACTATATATTTTAATATGTGGTACACCGGGTGAACTGTTTTTGAAAACTAAAATATGAAAATTTTAAGTTGTAAGTTGTATTTTTTTGTTTTAATTAGTATTTAAGATTGTATAATTTTATTTTGATTGTTAATTTTAAGATTTCGTCAGCGGTATACCACAAATAATTTACTTTGGCCTAATCGTAATTTGATTAACTTAATCAAATATATCTAATTAGGTTCGGACCCGCGCTTCAGCTCGGGGAAATCTTTACGTATATATATAACTTTTAACGGATTAGAATATATTATATTTTAATTTTATTGCAGTGTAGTCGATTTCAGTGAAATATATATTTGTGTAATAAGTTTAAATAAAATAATAAAAGGAAAAAGTTAGTAAATAATATATATTGAATTTTGATACAATAAAAACAGTGAAAATTTAACAGCACTAAATAATATTTATAAATAAATTATTCAGTTTGACTATTTTTGTAGTATAAGTAAGAATATACGTAAAAATTACATTCTTACAATATATTTTTTGGAAGGTACAACCCGTAACAGAATTTATTTCGTAAAAACATTATTCTTAACTCGCTCTACCATTATAACTGTGAGTTTAACAAACTAACCCGTGAACTACCTAAATTTTACATAGTTTGATATATAATATATTTTATCAATAAAATTATGTCTCCAAAACAAATATTGTTAATATTTTAAACTCTAAATTTTTTTTTATATATTTGAACCTTTTAATTATAATATTTTGAACCTTTTAAAATTTTGAATATGCTTATGTTATAATGGTTATAATACTGGTCATACTTATAATGGTTCAAAATCATTGTCCAAAATATTTAACCGAGTGTAGTTGAGTATTATATGTCCGTTTTGAAAAATTAAAATTGCACCATATGCAAAAAAAAAAAAATGTTTAGTATAATATCATAAATTAAAAAATAAGATTAAATAACGGTGAAAGAAGAATAATTTTTAAAAATATATTATATTAAATTAGTCAAAGAAATATTACAAAATCCTAAACTCAGTTATGGAAATAATATAGTCCTAAAAATACATATGGAAAGTACCCAATATATGTACTCAAACCCAATTTAATATCCAATTTTGAAGTATCCAGTTGTTAAAATCGGGTCAATATTTTAATTTTGACCCGATCCGTATTCAATTTTTGTACTTCTCTTTTACTAATATAGAGATACCCTTCTATTTCACAAAGAGTGTCATTTTAGCATTTTTACATAAACTATGAAAATAAAATAAAAAATTCATTTTTACCTTTTATTAATGTACTACATAATACCCTTTCTCTAATTTATAAGCTGAAATAGTATGAACAAAAAAGATATTAAATCTTAAGAACTTCAAAGGAAACACAAAACGACA